GAGGAAGGGGATCACAGTGACACTGAGGCTAGGGACAGACATTCAAAAAGCCTGAGCCTGAGTTGATTAAATCTTTTCAGGTTAGTCTAAAATCAGTTTTGTAACCAGACAGACATGCCTGCAGTGGCTCAGGCTAGAAGCTGAGGGGCACTAGAGCAGCCCTCTCTTCCCTTGTACAGTAGTACTGAGCAGGTGGGGAGTGGAGACAGACTAGGCTCTGGCAGGATGCTCTGATTTGCCCAGCAGGGGATTGATAACAATGTTTACCACCCATAACTCAGTGTTTATCACCCCATTAAAAAAACAACAGAAGGATATTACCAGCTATCTGTTGATTCTACCTTTCGATTCAGCATGGATCCTACCCAGCATGTTGTCTGCTAGCTAATACACAGACACTTCTCCACAAGGCAGAGGGGAGGGGGGAATTCCTGCTTAGCAGGGAGTGCTGAGGGGAAGGGGAGGGAGCAGCCTGCAGTCTCTGTAGGAGCTGTAGCCAGGGTACTGAGGAGAGAGGCGAGCCCTGCTGTGGAACAGAGAGCCCCATCCAGCCCAGAGAGCATGCTGGGATGCTGGGGGAGTCTGATTTAACTTAAACCATCAAGGGGTCTGGTACAGACGTTACATAAACTGGTTTGACCCAAATCAATTAAGTCTGATACTACATTCAATCAGGTTTATTTCAAACAGGTTTCAGCCATTTTCAAACTGATTTATTTGCACTGAACATCTGTTCTGTTACAGTTTTAAACCAGTTTCTGGTCACTTAAACCAGTTTATGGGTAATGTCTGTCCCTAGCCTCAGGGAGGGTGCTGGTGTAAGTTGTGACACACCTTCCAAAAAAAGGTTGTCTCCCTTCTAGACTAGTGCAGGCTGGAGCAGTAATAGCCTGGTAAATTTGTGTTGGGGGGTGGGGGTCAGATGCCTTGAAGTTGGAGGCTCTGAGCTCTGAACTTTCCTATTGCCATATTATTTTGAGTAGCCACAGTATTCAGAAAAGTAACAGCCAGGACATTCTAAGCAGGCTACAGACTCATTACATTACTCTGTGTATGAACTCAAGCTAGCAAACAGCATTACCTGGCTTAAACCCATGAATTTCCCTTGTTAGCCAGATAATCATAAACAAATGTGGGGAAAAAAAACAAAAAAACTATTTCACTTTTTCCTCTCCAGCAAGGAATGGAAAGATTATTAGTTCTTGAGTTTTTGTCTGGTCATAAACAAAAATTCCAGTATGTTGCTTTGTGACACGTAATTCTATGAGCTACCTTAATTTGCCTATGCCCATCGTACAAAGCAAATACCTCCATAAAACAAAACATAAAGCCAAGTAAAAGTCTGGAGAAAGTGATGTTGTTAGAATATGCTTGAGAGAGGCTTTCTGTGTGCTGGGGCTGGAAGCAGTCAATGTAGGAGGTATAATGGTGGGACTAGCACATAAACAGCATAACCAGAATATCTCTAAAGTTTTCTGGTGTTCAGTCTTCAGTGCTGACATAACTCTACTTTGGTGGTCAGTAAAAATCCCAGCAGAGTCTTCCTACACAGTACAGTCTTGTAGAACTCAATAATCTTCAGCCAATATTGCAACTGTTCAAATCCAAGTTTACCAGCGCTAACCCCACAAATTCCCCTTGTATAATAAAGAGTGCAGTGTTGTACAAGCATCTTCATCCTGGTGAGGACTCCATTGCCATTGTAGGGGCAGTTAGGTTGAGGCAACCACAGCAGGCTGGCACTACACTGTGGTAATTCCCTCTACGTGAAACTTCTCAGCTCCTTTCTCCCCACATTTCAACAGCACCCCTTTCCCCAATGGTAAATTTAATTAAATCTAACGTTACCCCTTCACATGAAAACTTTCTAGAAGAAAATGAGGTTTTTTTACTGCATTTACCCAGACTTCCTCTTCCCCGCAGAGGCAGGTTAGGTGTGTCACAGATCAGATCCTATGCTATATATGTAGGCCACAGAACATATGCCTCTACCAGAGACATCTCCAACACTTTCCTACTCAGAAAACATCTCCTCACCCTGCACAGCCAAGTGTCCTGTGTAGATTTGTATCTACCATGCAAAAATATAACCCGTCTACTACATTGATCAGGATGCTTTCAGCATCTAAAGCACCCTGGGGGGTCAGTCTGCCCATGACCCTCCAATTCTTACAGCCTCTTCAATGACTTTCTTTTGGCAGAGTGCCATCCTTTGTTTTTGTGAGATAAGTCTGTGATGATGTAAAAGAGTGAGGCAAGAGTTAAGGCCAGGGCTACTAGCCTATCAGGTGACACAGCAAAAGCTATAAGAGAAGGGAGGATTAGGGAGAAAGGTAGTTGTGGAATGGTAGACTTCATCTGTTAGGGGAATTGCTTTGGGGGGAGGGGTTATGTTTGATTTATGAACTGTGCAGTAAAACAGTGATCTGAAATGGGTGGAGATATGACACTGGGTCCTTCAGGGCTGGTGTGAACCTGCCAGTGTAGAGGGCCCAACCCCACTGATGCTCAGATCTTGATCTAGACCTGGGCTAATGGTCCCCAGCACTCCCAACCCTAAGTGGAATTGTGGAAGTAATATGGGGGTGGCAGGCCTGACAGAAATGCAATAGTTGATGCAAGCATTTGGGATTATGAGTCTGACAGAAGGGAGACTTGCAGCTGGAAGTCAGGGGGAAGAGAACTGCCACTGGTAGCTGCTGATCTAGGTGCAGTCCTGAACTTTCCCAAAGCACGGGAAAGATTGTATTGAGAGTTTGGGGGCCAGGTTTTGGTAATTTCATTCTACAGAGGGGAACCAGGGACAAAGCTTCTCCACAACCTCAAAATCAGTAGATGTTTGGGGTAATAGACTTGGAACTGAATAGTTATGATGAATTGCTGCCCAGAACCTTTAGTAGCACCTCAAGAGAATTGCTTATAAATAATAGCACCTGCATGGGAATAACACAGGTGACTAGAATATCTGTGAGGTTCCTACTTTGTTGTTCTCTTGGGAATGTGGGATCCTCTCCCAAACCAGAAGCCTCTATGACCCCTGCTCCACTCTGTGGAGCTAAACTATTCCAAAATAAGGCTTCTTTCCTTGGCTGCTGCCCCTGGCAATCTTATTATCCTGTAGAGAAAGTGTTTGAGTTTGCTATCTCAGCACTGCCAGTGCAGCTGATACTGATACTACATGGTGTGAGATCCTTATGGACAGAGCACAGGGCACTGATGAGCTGCAGAAGGATCATATGAGCCTTTTCTTTCCAGAGCTGACTTTTGTTTCCTATAAAGTATAATCCCAGATTTCATTTTAAAAAAGAAGTCAGTCTCTAGCTCTTTGTGAAAAGTCAGAAAATATAAGCCAGTTGCTAAGACTGAATGCATCTGGATGTGCCTTGAGTGCA